TGATGGTTCAGTAGCCAAGAACCTCAAAAAGACCACAATAGCTGCCCTTACAGAAGACCCAGGTTTGACTCCCAGCTCTCACAACCATTGTGAATTCCAGTTCCAGATAGCCCAATGCCCACTGAGGGAACCAGTCATGCATGTAGTACATACATGCAGGCAAAACACCCACTCACTAAAATAAGTACTTTCAAAAGTTAACATACACACACATACACACAAACACAAACATCACCATCCCCAAAGAGTATTTTTAAGATTGGCAAGACTCACAGAAACACTTCAGAATTCTGGCCCAGTAAAAACTCAAAACCAAAGGCTGGAGTAGAAAACTGTTTTATTTTCACATTTAAGTTCCAAGTTAAACCAAGCTTACACAAACATCCCTTGGCTTTTTAAGAGTGGCTTCAGAGCTCAATCTTTAGAGGCCAGAATTTATATGGCACAGACCATGCCTGCCATTTTCAAATAAATAGTTTCTGTAAACTGTGTTTAGCATGCAGGGGAGTTTTTGTTGCTTCTCAGTTATGAGTCAGGGAGAATAACTCAATTATAAACACATTCATATTCTGTCTCTTCCCCTCCCTCCATGCATGACAGAGAGAGGCCTGTCTCTGCCAATGACTAGCAGTGCTTTGAAGTCACCTAAGCATCTGAAGGCCTCTGCTCATCACCAAAACATAGAAAAAGTGAACCTCAAGATTTTGAAGTCTTAAGCTCTCAACAGCCTTTTGATGTTGCTGTTGTAGCTGGGGGCTGGGCACTCTAATGACATCAGATGGCCTTCATGGTTCTGTGTACCTAAAAAAGCACAGCATGCAAAGTGACAAAGCTCAGGGCGGAAGATACAAGGAAAGTCCACACAGCTTGTGCCCATGTGGGCTTACTCCTGCTGGCTCAATAAAGAGAACAAGCCCCTGCCAATTTTCCACGGGATGGGAGTGGTACTTGTTCTCACCACACCCTCCACAGCCAATTTTTCCTAAAAGAAATCCAATGGGGACAATAGTAGTGTGAGGCATCAAGGATTCTTCATCATGACTAACAGGACAGTTCTGTTTTAAATTTTATTTATTGTTTTGAGGTTTGTTTTTTTAAAAGTTCTGTATAGCCCTGGCTGTCCTGGAACTTACTCTGTAGACCAGGCTGGCCTCAAACTCAGAGATACGCCTGCCTGTAACTCCCAAGGGATAAAATTAAAGCCATGTACCACCATGCCCTGCCAATTTCAATTTTTTAAAAAAATAAAAAATTTCTCATACAAAAAGAAACTACCTTCTCGGAGAAGCAGTTTGTCACAGTGAGTGACAAACTGCAGAGATACTCAGCAAGAAGGGGTCTCAATTCAGAGACAAGGTCCCAAGCGGGACTCAAACTCAGAGATTTGCGTTAATGCAATTCAGCCTATCATTCATATCAGCGCAGGCACCATCTGGTGAACTGGTTCATGGCTGCCAAGGATCAAATGAGGCCAGCTTAGGAAGTTGTTTCAGGTGACTCCCAGGATGGCTTTCCGGAAGAGCTCCTCCACAACAGGACGGTCCTGGAGAACCTGTCCGTCACTCTTCCCATGCCCTCTCCCCATTTGCAGGTGTGTGTGTGTACGCATGCTCTCGTGCACAATCTTTGTCAAATCTGACTGACCTCTTCTTCCTGGTCACATAAGCAGCTATGTGTGTGGCTGTTCTATGGCATTCCTTGCAAGAAAAGGAGCTGGCAATCTCTACCAGACACTCAGGTGTGTGCCTTCGGTGGCACACGGTGAGCTACCTGCAGAAGTGAAGGCTGGAGAGTCTGTGCAAGCCTGCCTCTGTGCTTCCACAGCCATGGATACTACAGCCAGTGAACCAAGGCAACTTAACTGAGTGCTCAATGCTAGACACAAACCAGAAGTCTACCGAAGCTGTCTGTGGCGATGCCATAGGAATGCATGCTCTAAGGGACTAAAACAGGAAAGCGAGACTGGCTAGGCTGAGCCTCAGCCTTAACATCTGACAGCCCACTCCTTTCATCTTCTCCAGATAAGGAACTGCAGACTCTTAGAGTACACCCAAGACCACAAATCACAGCCATTAAGTTGCAAAGCTTAACCTCAAACTAGGCATGGTTTCTGCCAGAATGCCAGGGTATGAAATTACATTTGCGCTTTTTTAGAAAAGGTCTGACCAGTATCTCCCATATCCCTGTAAATATACCACAATACCAGCACAGGAAATTTTTTTTCTTTTTTATTTGTTTTTTTGAGACAGGGTTTTTCTGGGTAGCCCTAGCTGTCCTGGGACTGCTCTATAGACAAGGCTGGCCTTGCACCCACACAGATCCACCTGTCTGCCTTCCTGAGTACTGGGATTACAGCATGTGCCACCTTGCCCAGCAACATGTGGATTTAATACATTCAGATACAGTAGTCCCCTTTCTCCTCCAGGGATACATTCACCCTAATGGATGCCTGAACCTCAGGGAATACTGAACCCTCTAAGTACTTCTTCAAATACATATATACCTATAATAATGTGATTTATAAATTAGGTACAGTAGGATAGTAATATTTGTTAAGATTAACACATACTGCAATAAAAATTATACAAATTAGTACCCTACATCTTCAGTTGATTTGCTAACCAAGATGTCTACTCAGTGACTTTAACGAAAAATGGATACAACTATAATGAAAGGACCTGACTAGGCATAGCAGGCTCCCTGTCGTCCTAGCTCTCCCAGGACTCCCAGGACTCTTGCCTCCCAGGCAAGAGGGTTTTTTGTTTTCAAGACAGGGTTTCTCTGTGAGGACTTGGCTGACTTGGAAATGGCTCTGTAGACTAGGCTGCACTCAAATTCAGAGATGTGCCTGCTCTGCCTCCCTAGTGCTGGGATTAAACGTATGTGCCACCATCACCAGGCCTACAAGAGGGTTTCTTGAGACCGGAAGTTCATACTATCCTCGGCAATATAGCAAGATCCAGTCTTAAAACAAAACGGTAACAAGATCTGGGGGAGTGGAGAGATGGCTCAATGGTTAAGAGCACTGTCTGCTCTTCCGAAGGATCCCGGTTCAATTCCCAGCACCCACATGGCAGCTCACAACTGTCTGAACCACCAATTCCAAGGGATCTGACACTTTCACACGAATGCACACAAAATAAAATTAAATAAATTATTAAAAAAAAAAAGAACAACAACAACTCTGGGTACATGTACAAGATTCTACCTCACTACTAAGAATGGCATGTAATTTAAAACCTAGGAATGGTTTACTCGTGGAATATTTTTAATTTAATATTCTCAGACCTCAGGACTAAAAACTACTATACTCCAAAATTATCAATCAAACCACAGGTTTCTCAAGAAAACAAACAAAAACTATCTTATAGTCAGCTTTACAGAATGAGCTGTAATGGCTCATTACCTCTTAGCCTTTTTGAATGAGTGCAATTCTGACACCTTTTTGGTAGTGCTGAGCCTGAAGAAAGGCCTCATGCACAGTTGGCAGGGAGGCAGCCCACACCGGCCTACCCACAGCTACTGTAACTTGAAAGGCAGCACAGATCATTAAGTTCACTAAGCGAAGTGCTGCCTAGGTGACTTGGAGAAGCAGCTAATGGCAGCCTCTCAAAAAAGACTTGAGTCTAGACAGATTTCATGGTGAATTTGTACAATTCCAAACCTAACCTCTGAAAGGTCAGTACCCAAAGCGCTGTCTAAACACGAAAAGGTTTTTCTCAGCATAGATAATGAGTTTATTCATCAATTAAAATGAGAACCACCTTCTCAGTATCTTGTTCACAAACACTACATGCCACACACCAAAACTTACAAGGTTACACTGGTAACCTTAAATCAGATGATTTAAAAATAATGTCATGAGCTGGGAGTTATGGCACACACCTGTATCCTCAGCACTTGGAAGGTGGAGGCAGGCGGCTTAGAAGTTCAAGGTCAGCCTCCACTACACACGAAGTGGGCCACAAAAAGATCTTCTCCAAAAAAAAAAAAAAAGAAATAAAACAAAGAAATTACTGTCACAAATACTATTACTTGCTCCAATGCCAAATTTTGTCTTAGCATATGAAACTTTAAGTAACCAAAAACTCAATGTCACCGGAGAAGTGAAACCAAAGTGACATTTGAACCTAGAGCCAATGACAGTATGTCCTTCAATTTCAAAGGAAGAGAGCTTCATGACCTGAAAGAGCTTTAATGGCATACACAAAAACTCCAAGGGCATACCCTAGGTAACGTTTCTGATAGCTTGTGCATTGTTTAGCCCTTTGGACAGCCCCCTTCGTCTCCTCTCCCCAAAGGTGTCACTGGGAAAGCACTTAGGAAGCACCTGTGGCCTAAAAAGCTGTGCCCGAGTCCCAGAGCTTTTCTGGCTGCAGCCTACGAGCAGGTCCGGGCCATTCTATTTTGGGTCAAGGAGACCTTCTGCCACCCCAACTGACCTCAAGTAGACAAGTTGTGTTTGGGAAAAAGCACTGCTAGAATTTCTAACCAGGCCAGCGGTCCCGTCCCCCCAACCCCCATCCCAAGGCCCTTCCGTGGAAATCGGGGGATGGTCCCGGCAGCGGAATAAAGCCGCGGCAGGGCTGCGGGCTCCCGCCGTCTTCGGTCTGCTCCGGATCCCGCAGCTGGGATGTCTTCAGGAGCTCGCCAAGAAGCAGGGATTCCCGGGGTGCACAGAGGGAGGAGGGAGCAAGGCAAAGTGAGGTTAGCAGCCTGCAGGTGTCGCCGAGCCAGGAGGAAGAGGTCGCGTGGGGGCTGTGACTAAGAAAAGTGCGGCTCTGCACCGGGACAGACTGGACACATTCCCAAGGCGGTGGTGACCTTGGGCACGTGGCTCCACCGCTTTGCCCCTCGGTTTCCCCATTTCTAAAGTGGGGAGATCAGGAGGCAGAAAAGGCGGCTTGGGTGCTCGGCGGGGCGCCGCGCTCAGCGGAGGAAGCGGGGAAGCCTCGCGCTCCGGAGTCCCCAGGAGGCGGACCTGGGGCCGGAGGACTCACCCAGCACGTCGGCCGAGCGGTGGCGGGCCACGAAGCACGCATCGTCCCCGTAGCACGCGCCCTTCTTGAGCAGGCCCTTACGGAAGTCCTTGCCGAAGCCGCAGCCCGCCGTCACCAGCCCGTAGTCGCCGCCGCCGCCGCCGCCGCCGCCGCCGCCGCCCGCCCTGGGGTCGGTCTGCGACAGGCCGCCGAGCACGGCGCGGGCCACCAGCCGCCCATACGACAAAACCGAGAACATCGCCGCCGCCGCCAAGCCCCCGAGGAGGCGCGGGGCCCGGGGCGCCGGAGGACGCCGAGGCCCGGAGCCGGCTCTCTCCTCAGCCGCAGCAGAACCGCCGGGGCGTTCCTCAAGGCGGCGCGCACTGGCCGCCGCCCCCCCTGCCCGCCGCACGGGGCCTCGCAAACGCTCCGCCGCACGCACTGGAGCCAGAGCGAGGTCAGAGCCAGCGGCTCCTCCACCGCAACCAAAGTGGGGTACCGGCTGCACTCGCTGCCGCCGCCGCCATCTTCCGCTCCACTAGCGTGTTCCGGGCCGCGCCGGCAGCGCCGCCCCCTCCTCGGTCCCGCCCCGGTCCCGCCCCCTATTCGCGGCTCAAGTCCAAGCCCCGCCCCCTCAAACACGCAGCCCTATGTAATCAGTGGACTCGAGAGTGCGCAAAGGGTGTGGGCGCAGTGTATCCCGGGAGTCGTAGTTCAGCAGCTTTGGACTTGGCCGCCTGGATTTGGATTTTCCCAGACGGCTGTAAATTATTGAGAATGACTGATAGACTGGTTTTTTTGGAGGGTGGATAAGGGCGGAGTTCCTGGGTTTTTTCTCCCCAACTCTTTTTTTTTTTTCTCTTTTCTGATTTTTTTTTTTTTTTTTTTAAGATAGAATCTCATAGAACCCAGGCTGACCTCCAAATCATTCTGTTGCCAAGGTTGGCCTTGAACTTCTGAGCTCCTTGCCTACAACTTCCCAAGTGCTGGGATTACAAATTGTGTGTCACCATACCCGGTTTAACAGTTTCTTTCACAGACACACACACACAGAGACACCCCCCCCCCATTCCTTTACATAACCATAAGAAACCAAGATTGGTGTTCTATACCGTATGCTATAGGCAATGTGAAACAGCAGTACACAGACCTAACATTCCATAATTAATGTACCTTGAAAGCCCTGTGTCTAAAACATCCGTGCCCCAAATTCTAAACTTATCAGTTTTTGAACCTGGCCAAGCAGGTCTTTTTCTTGCTTCTCATTTGGAGGCCTTCATAAACTTTGGAGGGCTGAGAACTTTCAAGGACGATGACAATGACAATGAGGCCCCTTTCTCCTACCACAGCTTCCACCTCTTCTCAAGAGGGACATACCTTAGCAGAAAAAGGGGGCAGGGCATGATGGCACAAATTTCTAATTCCTCCCTGAATGGTGGGAGGCAGAGGGAGGCAGAACTGTGAGTTTGAGGCCAGCCTGATCTACTGATCTACATAGTGAGTTACAGGCCAGTCAAGGCTTCCTACACCATGTCACAAAAAGGGCCGGGGAGCTGGAGGGATGGCTAGGGGTGTAGGAGTACACACTGCTCTTCTGAAGGTCCTGAATTCATTTCCGAGCAACCACATGGAGGCTCACTATTGTCTGATGCCATCTTCTGTTGTGCAGATGCACATGCAGACAAAAGTACCCATATACATGAATAAATAAATCTAAAAAAGAAAAAATCAGAAGAAGGAAGGAGAGGAAGGAGGGGCACTTCTATTTCATTTTTTCTAAAGCTCTTGACCTACCTTGAACAAAGATATCAAGCAGCCTTCCTCAAATATTGACTATTTTAAGTTATTTCCCTCAGAAATTATTTTGTTGATTAACAGCTATTCTTTTCTTTTTTTATTACTGTTTTTAAAGAAAAATTTTAGGACTTTTTATTTTATTTTGGTTTGTGGTTTTTGTTTGTTTGTTTTGTTTTTTCAAGCTAGGTTTTCTCTGTGGAACAGCCCTGGTTATCAATTAATAGTCCAGACTGGGCTCAAACTCCCAGAGATCCACCTGTTTCTGCCTCCCTAGTGCTGGGATTGAAAGCATGTGCCACCACCACCCAGCCTAGGCTTTATTTTTATGTGTGAGTGTTTTGCCTGAATGCATGTCTGTATGTCATGTGTGTGCAGTGCCCATGTCCACCAGAAGACAGCATTAGTTCTCTTAGAACTGGAGCTACAGACAGTTGTGAACTGCCTTGTAGGTGCTGGGAATCGAACCCAGGACCTCTGGAAGAGCAGCCAGGGTTGTTAAACTGCTAAGCCATCTCTCAGGTCTATAGTTATTTTATTTTTAAGACAGGATCTCCTGTAACTTAGACTGACCTTGAACTCACTGCTGATCCTCCTGCCTCTCCATGCCAGTTGCTGGGCATTATAGGCACACACAAACATGCCCAGTTTAGCTGCTATATAATGTTGGTATGTGTGCACAAATTTATAAACATTCAGGTTTCATACCCTAGTCAGTGCGGGTGTTATATAAATAATCTAGGCTCCAAATACCTTTTCTGCCTAGCTGGCATTTTGTTGCTGACTGGCCTCCTTCCAAGCACACAGCTGCCCCCATACCTTTGTTCTTGTTCTTTCTTCTACCAATCAGGATGTAATTCCATGTCTGAGGGTCCTGTGTTTTCTGTTGTGTTTCCACACCCCTCGGAAACACAACAGTCCAAGTTCCTCAAGGGTAGGGTAAATTGGCATCATATTGTCAGGGTTTAATGTAACGCCTGCACACAGAAGGGGAGTTTGCAAACATCTGCTCTGTTGGGTAAAAGAAAGAACAATGGACCTGGAATCGTGAGAGGATGGAAGGAAGTGGTTGCACAGATGGAATTCACAAACAACAGAGCTGGCCTTTAGTAATCTGGTGTGTGTGTGTGTGTGTTTGTGTGTACATGAATGCATGCTTGCATCCCTTGATGTGGGGAGTTAGGGGCATGCCATAGTGCAAGAGTGAGGTCAAAGGACCGCTATCAGGAGTCAGCTCTCTCCTTCCACCTTTACATGGGTTCTTGAAAACAAGCCCTAGGACTGCCCTGTAAGTACCTCTGCCTGGGGAGCCATCTCTCAAGCCCCATCATTTGTAACTGTAAAATAAAAATATCCAGGAATATTTGCCGTTTTCCAGATTCACTTCAAACAGGATTCCAGCTACTTTGGAGATTCCCATTTAATGTTCTTTTTTTAAAATGCAGTTTTAAAAATACACCTAAAGTCCTGCCAACTAAAAACACATCACTGTGTCACCCTCGTTACTCTCATCCTTAAACACTTTTGCAGTTCACGGTGTGCCAAGTCCAGCTTCTGCAAATCAGAGGTTACGGGAAGGCTTGAGCCTGAAAAGTCACTTCCTATAGTGAGCAGCACGTGGTTGAATACGCAAATAGAAGTTCTCTTTGGGGATAAAAAGGAAAGCATTCATACCTTGCTTTGTGTGTGTGTGTGTGTGTGTGTGTGTGTGTGTGTGTGTGTGTGTGTGTGTGTAGCATATATAATATATATGTGTATATATACGTATATGTGTGTTTCAGGAACTGGTGCATGTAGACGAGAGGGCGGTGCCTCTCCGGAATCCTCTGCTTGGCATTTCCGTCTCTGCCAACTGCGCTAAAGGTTGCTCTTTAAACCACACCAGTGGCCAGTCCCAGCCAGCCTGTCAGGTAATCCTACCCCAAGGACAAGCTTTTTTAAGATGGTATGTCAACCCCTGCTCCTTGCCTTGTCCGACTCCTGCAGACCAATCAAACTCATTTTTAAGGCATGTGTAATTACCCAGTTTCCGTGTCAGTCACAAGAACCGGTTGGATTGGGCCAGTGGGAGCCCAGGTGGCTCCCTTGCCTGGCCTTTGCAGTAACCTGTGTACCCAGTAGGCCGGCGACCTCTGCAATGGTGGGGCTGCTGCCGATCTCAGCGTGGTGACTTTGGGTGTCACGTGCCTTGAGCTTCCAGCTACTGAGATTTCTGCAGACTCGTTGCTCCCTGAGGCGCCTGGCAAACAGTTCTCTCTCAAAGCACTCCAGAGCGGCGGGGGAGGCGGGGTGCCGACCGCGGGGTGAGGTGGGGGCGCGCTTGGCGCACGGAAGGGGGAAAGAAGAGGTTCCGCGGAACCAGTGGTTCTAGCCAGGGGAGAGGACTTGGCAAAACACCTCTCTCTGCCCACTCCTAAGAGGGCAATTCAGATTTGAGTTTGCTAAACTCGAGAAACCCTGGGTTTTCCTCCTTAGCCGAGTTACATTCCTAGCACTTCAAGGATTCCTGGGAGGTCAGTTGCTGCTCTCAAAGGCCAAGAAGTGGTGAAAATACCACCCCGGCTCTGGGGCACCTCTGTGGCATTAGAAAAGAGCTTTGCACCGGGATTGCCACAGCCTCAGTTCCAAAAAGAGCTCTTCTGATTTCTCTTCTGCTAGCGTAAGGAAAAGGAATCCCTGTTAATTTGGTGGTCAGATTTCTCAACACTGATAGTATCGACATTAGGCACAGGTTATGTCTTTGATGGAGAGGCTGTCCTCGGCACCAGAGGTGACTTGGCAGCACCCTTGGCTCTCTACCCACTGGATGCTGGTAGCACCATGCCAGTCCCAGGGGGAGAACTGAAAATGTCTGAGCTGTTTCTGGATACCCCCTGGGGGTACAACCAACTACTCCTGGTTTAGAACCAGTGAACAGTCACTGAATCTAGGATGGGAGTAGGTTAACACGGAGTGGGGCGAGAAGCAGCAACTGCCATCAGTCAAGGAGGTGGGCTCAGGCTGGGGCTCAGCACGTAGGGTACTTACCTACCATGCAGGAGGCCCCAGGTTTGACATTCTCTGCACCCAGGAGGTGGAAGCAGGAGCATCAGGAGTTCAAGGTCATCCTCTTGCTGTATAGTGAGTTCCAGGCCAGCATGGGCCTGGAAGGACTTCCTTCTGAAAGAAGACAGAAATGCAGGAGGAGGAATTGCTATCCCAAAAGGAAGGCAGAGTGTGACTGAGGAAGAACAAGCGTTCTAGTGTGGCTTAAAATTAAGCCCAGGATTTAAAAAGGACGAGTGACAGCGAGTCTGGAACGTCAGAATGTGCCTCGTAGCCACAGAAAGGGAGGAAGTATTCATTCATGTGTTGACAGGGATTAACTTCAAAAACCCCTGTAGTGAAAGAAGCCAGGGATTGATTGATTGATTGATTTCTTTTTTTGTTATTGTTGTTTTTCGAGACAGGAATTCTCTGTGTAGCCTTGGCTGTCCTGGACTCACTTTGTAGACCAGGCTGGACTCAAACTCACAGAGATCCGACTGCCTCTGCCTCCCAACTGCTGGGATCACAGGTGTGCGCCACCACTCCTGCCTTTGAAATTTCAAGATGGCTCTGCGGGTAAAGATGACCTGTTTTAATCCCTGGCACACACTGTTAGAGGGAGGAAATCCATTCCTGAAGGTGGTCTTCCAACTCCTACATATGATAGATAAACACTAAGCAAATAAAAACTAAAAAGTAAGATGTGGGTAGAGCGG